TTTCGTATTACCTTAATATTATAGTTTATATATAAATATATATAATAATTTTAATCATCTGAACTGATGCAAATCACATAACATTATTTTAAAAACTGTAGAACATCCTAAGTCATATGAGACTGTACGATTGGATGAAATACAGTAGAGTTGCTCTCTTGGTCTTTTAAACGTGAAATCAATGTACCATTGCTCTCGAAATAATTATTCAGGGTAGAAAAGTAAAAAATATTATTATAAAAAATATTACATCCAATTTTTAAATTTAAAAGCGTTATAGTTAAAAATTTAGTTACATTTTAATTATCAAAATAAAGATGATTATCTACGGTTTGATTAAAATTTAAAAATTAAAAGGTTCTTCAATATTTTTTTTTAAATTAAGTTCATTTTGTTCCATTAATGGGTATGAAAAGATATTTGATAAAATTATAAAATTACAATTACAATTTTCAATAAATACCTAGTTAAACACTTTGAAAAATATACTATCTATAATTATCAGTTGTGTACATGGTGATGGTAGTAAAAATGTCTTTCTAGTGAAAATGTCATGTCCATAAGTTGATTATTTTTCGAGTAACGATGAAAACCAATATTCGATTGCCTCAAATATCAATAGGCCAATAATATTTAGGAATAACTTTTCGTCAGTATTTCGAAATAATAAAAAAGCAATAAACACGCATTGCTGTCACGCTTGAACATATTGTGATTAGGAATGAGAGAGGTTAAATTTAAAGTGTATGTTTCACCACTCCAAATAGGTATGCCTAAGGTGTTGCAATTATGTTGTAGCCATACAATTTCGCTGAAACAGCAGCTGTGTTGCATGAGCAGTAATAGACGTACGGCCACGTATTTAACACTTCCAGTAACAATATTGTTGCGCGGCTGCTTCGTTACGCGGTAAAATGTGGTTTCGCGTCACGATAATGCTACTCACGTATGCCAATCTCGCGACGCTGCCCGCGAACGGTGCTCGCATACTGGCCGTTGAGACAATGAGTGGTAAGAGCCACTGGAACTTCATGAGCGGAGTACTCCGGCCACTGGTGGACAGCGGCCACACCGTCACCGCGTTCACGCCGTTCCCTGACGGCGACCGGGAGAACTACACCGAAGTGGACATTTCCGGCGATATGAGTCGCTTCCAGGACAAGGACTTGAAGGGCGTGATCGTGAATTGGAGCGATCCGATCAGAACAATCGATTTCATAGCCTCGTTGAGTAAGAAAAAGTGCGATATAATGTACGCCAACAATCGAATGATCGAAGTGATGCGGCAAAATGGCAATTCTCACTTCGACCTGGTCATTATCGAACCAATAATGTCAGAATGTGTATCGTACTTGGCTACTTTGTTAGACGTACCAATGATCTACGCGATACCGCTGTCCATAACGAGCTTGATGGAACGCTATAACACTGGCCATTTTCCGAACCCCGTAATCGACTCCCACGTGATGTCCGCCTACGGCATGCCAACTACGTTCGTTCAGCGGTTGGCTAATGCCGCCCTTATTGTCTATGGACTGGTCAGCACCGAGTTCACGGCGTCCCGGGTGAAATGCACCAATCCCAGGCCGTACGATTTGGTCCCACTCTACAAACCGTCTCTGGTGTTCGTTAATGGCCATCCCGTGATGACTGCACCGAGTCCGGGGGTTGCGAGTGTCGTCAACGTGGGTGGCATACATCTGACTGTGGCTAAGAGCTTACCTAAAGTAAGAAATGTGAACAATATTGTATACAGATAATATATTAAGTAACTCTTGACGTACATTTGAAAAAAAATTATAAATAAATCATTGAAAAATGTTTCGAGGAATGTAAACATTTTCCCACCACTAAAATTTTGTTTAAATGCGATATTGTTTCTTCATTTTAAAGCAATAAGTGAAATCCATTTAATATGGGTTGTCAACTATATAAAGATATATTGCAAGTCGAGAAAGATGCAATATATATAGCTCTCTAAGTCGAGAAAGATAAAAAGCTGAATACAGGAGCGTAGCTCTTTTCTATATCAATGATTTCCAAAGTGTGTTCCGCTTAGCCTATGGGTTCTGTGGGACAATTTCAAGGGTTTCGCTTGATTTTATAAAATTTAGAGTACTTATTGTAATAAACAATAAACATGAGTTATCTTTAAAAATATCTTTGAAAATGATCTACATAAAATGTGGCTATCTTTTTATCTTATCTAGATAAATTATTATTCCGTCAATAATTTAAATATTTTCGACACAAAATTATTTTAAACCACGCTTTTAGATCAGAGACTTTTTAATAATAAAATACAATAAGCAAATTGTTTAGAATTACTTAGTACGCATCAAGCTATGAATAAAAACGTATCGAGTCCAATGCAACGTATACCACTAATAATAAATGTAAATAATAAATAATATATATATAGTATATTACTATTTTCCGGAAAATGCTTTTTTCGAAATAATTATCCATCCATTATAAATAAGAGCCAATAGACGCTATGAAATAAACTACTCGTGCAATTCACGTGAAGCAAATCATTTTTTCTACGTAAATAATTGATATGATATTTTCTATTGATTGGATGTCATACAAAAACAATGATGTAACTGATTTAATATCGATTTTTTAATATTGATAGAAGACATCACACCCAGAAGAAGCATGATTCGTCTTTTATGGGTCAGGTATTGTATCGCCCTATAGCGTCAGGCACGCGGTTCGTCCGCAATGTAATTTTTTGTTCGAAATGGTCGGTCTCAAATGTAGATAATTAATAATAATAATATTACGGCATTATATATTTAAGATAACAACTATGACTTACGCTGAGTACGAATGTTGACACTATAAAATGTGTCTTCTTTTTCTCTTTTTCTTCTCTTGGAGTTTGTCGGCAATTAAGACCATCCCGTCACACATCCGATTCTCAATCCGTCCCTAAAATTCGTCGTCGATGGTTATCTTTGTTATTTGGGGAAAAACATTTTCATCTATAAATAGTTTACCCGTTGACTTCTACACATATGTGGCCCCTTAGACATTTATTTAATTGTGTTCTTATTGATAATACGTTTTATACACATTAAATTATGGGGAATAAAGAACCCACTAGAGTAAGATTAAAATACTAAGAATGATAACTGAGTATCTATTAGTTGCATACAACATTACATTTTTACTATCTGTTTTTTAATCTATATAAAAGTGGTTATCTTTTTTATATTATCTAGATACATATTTTAAGTGTCATCTATTTATCTAATCTAGATATATTAATAATCAATTAACCGTCATCTTATCTAGATGATTTATTGGTTATCAATGATAACTTATCATTGTACAACACTGATAAAAAAACAAAGTAAGAAAACTGAAAATCATAATGATTGAAACTTTTTGGTCTCGTATATTAGAAAACATGGTTTTTAATAATAAGATAATTCATACTTTATAATTATTTGTCCTTTAAAATATAAGTAAAATTCAAAGTGATTTATAACTAGATATATCATTTTTAGATATTACATATATTTATTTTCTTTATGTAGGACAATGAGAATGAAAAATGTGGATGAATTATCTAATAGAGAGTTAGATTATTAAATTATTTTGCATATTGATGTATAATTAAGATATAAGTGAATATTAAGGCCGTTTTTCATATTTTAGAAAACATTGTATTATTGTTCATAAAAATTTCAAATTAACATAAAATTTCTCAGATTTTCTCATTGTAGAAAAATAAATAATAGTTTATATAAAAAATCATTCAGTTTCTTGTGGGTAAATCATAGACAAAACATTATGTTATTATTATGTCTATGAGTACTATTGAAAAACATTGTAACAAAGTCAGATCATAAAATATAAAATGTATTAAATATATACTAAATTATACACTAAAATTAAATTTTTTTTATAATCAACCAAAAAATAGTGTACTACTGCAATTTATAATTTATTGTTTCTTTTTGTTTAATTTTAAGAAATATGATTTTATAACTTTTTAAATTTTTTTTATTAAACAAATATTAATTGTATATTAATAATATATTTGAGTTAAAATAGTTATTAATTAATGATTTAAATTTAATAATTAAATTACACATTTAAATGCATATTTGAAGAATTATGATTGACATTTAAGTTTTTATGTATATTGAATTTATAACATGAGGTAAAATATTAATGTTGAATTTACATATTGTAAATTTTTTTGTCATCATGATCAAATATTAAATTATATTTTTTATTGTAATTTGTATAATCAAATATGAATTAATAAGTGAAAACAAATTTTAACATATTTTACATGATCAAAAAATATTAAAAAAATATTTTGGGGTTTATTTTAGATCATATTAGCATCAAATTTTAAATATTTAAGAACCTAAAAATCTGCTTTTTTCGGTATATGAAGCGATGATAACAAATTATTCCATATTGTTAGGATATTTTGGAATTCATTGAACAATCACCGATTGGAGTAATTTATTTTTCATTTGGTTCTACTGTTAAAACGTCATCGCTACCTGAACACATTAAAAAAGCATTTTTTGAAGCTTTAGCAGAACTTCCTCAAAGAATATTGATGAAATATGAAGAAGAATTGCAAGATAAACCCAAAAACATAATGACAAAAAAGTGGCTACCCCAACGTGATATACTACGTACATAGAAAAAATATTTATATTTTATTATATATACCAATATTTAAAAGTAAATATACCATCAATTAATTTTTACAGTTCATCCAAACGTGAAATTATTTATTAGTCATGGAGGCATATCTGGGTTGTACGAAACTATTGACGCCGGAGTCCCAATCCTTGGATTTCCTTTATTCGGAGATCAGCCAAGAAATATAGACACTTTAGTAAACAATGGAATGGCGATATCAATGGACCTGTTTTCCGTAACTAAAGAATCGTTTTTGAAAAATGTTCTTGATCTTCTTAATAACGAAAAGTATACTAAAAGTGATAATATATAATGAACAAATTTTAACTTATGTCTTTATTCTTTTAGGTACACGAAAAATGCTAAATCATCTTCAGAAATCTTTAAAGATCGATCGATGTCACCAGAGCAGTCTGTTGTTTATTGGACTGAGTATGTTATTCGTCACAAAGGAGCCCCACATTTGAAATCGAATGCATATGCATTAACTTGGTATCAATACTACCTGGTGGATGTAATTTCATCAATATTAATATTTGTTTTCATCGTATTTTTTGTTATATATAAAGTTCTAAAACTAGGGTATTATATATTTATTAATTTTAAGCAAATTAAAACTTAATCTGAATAAATATTGCAACCCATTTTCTATATTCATATATAATAAAATTATACTTGCAATGTGTTTGGTAATTTATTGTGATATTTTTTATTCAAACATACCTTAAAAGATATATAAGAGTATGTCCAATTATAATGTACATTCAAATTCCTGTATCATAACTAGTGTACAGATATTGTTGCATTTGCAACTTTACTTCTACTATTCTAATTTATTGCTAAGTAAATTTTAAATGCATTTTGTGTAAGTATGAATGAAAATTTTGCAAAAAAAAAAAAATACAATATTTCTCAATTTACGAAACTTTGTCAATTATATTGCAATATTGTTGACTTTACTCATTTTTAAAATAGTTTTAATTATTTTTTAAATTTTTTCATATAAATTAAGTTTTTCAATACTATTTAGACTGTTTTATAAAAATGCCATGAAATTAGTTATTAAATTGTCTGAAGTATATGATGTATTAATATATATTGTTTAAATAACTTACTAATAAGACTGGATCTCCTATGTGTTGTCTCAAGTCATAGTATAATAATAGTTATAATCAAAGGTGGGCAAGTTAATGAAGTTAATTAACTCGAGTTAAGTTAAGTTAAGAGAACACAAGATCGATAAGTTAAAAATTATAAAGGAAAAAATAGTAACCTAACTTATTTTAAAAAAATGTAATTTACTTTTTAATATATAGATGACATAAAAAGTGATTGCGTTATTTAGAAATATCTAATTTCCTAAATTACAACAAACAATTTTACTGCATTTTTTATCATAATATATAGCAATGGCACCAAAGTGTTTGAAATATATAATTTTACATAATTGTACATCAAAGAGCCACTCACTACCGCATTTATTTATCTTTATAGTTAACATTTTTTATTAACATTTCCACGGTCAGAATACAATACCCAAAGGTGGGCTCCCAACCTCCAAAATCTAATATGACATCTGATGTACATGTACTGATGTGTATGCTACCATTTTACTTAACTTGAATATTTAATTTTTATATTAATATTTACGTATAAACGAAAAATTTCAAATATTTTTAACTTCATAGATCATTTTTAAATCAACTGTGAAAAGCTAAGTTATTTTAACTGCCAATTATACTAGTTAAGTTAAAAAGTTAATAAAAAATGAAAATTTTAACATTACTCTAACTTTTTAACTAATTAATGCCCACCTTTGATATTTTGTGATAAATATGTATAAATTTATAAGTTTTCATAGACACACTACGTTGGATGAAGCCTGTGTAAAATATTTTCAAATTATTATACCCAAAATTGAAATATTACATATTTATTTTAAAATAAAAATTGTTTGGTACTTTGATGAAATTATATCAAAAACTATATCGTGGTGAAATAATAATTAGAAAAAAAACTGTGGATCAGTTAATCTTCCAAGCCCTCCCCCTGGGTCCGCCACTGAGGCCTTGGGTTTCTAGAACAATTCTGAAACTACTTAATAAATTAATATACGAGTGTATATATCAGTGGCGTATATAGGGGGGTATCTAGTAGGCTACAGCCCCTACCCCGAAATGTTTTAAACAACTTAAAAATTATTTTAAACGTTTGTTATATTTTAATAGTGCTTTATGCTTATTTAGAATTTTCGGTCAACTTCAAATCGTTTTGGGACATTCTGCAAATGAAATGTTGATAAATACCTACTGTGTCTTGTTAGTAATACTTAGATAGCAATGGTAATTTAACTCTGTCCATAGTAGCCTCTCCCGAAAATATTTTTTGTATATGTTACTGATATATATATATATATATATATATTATGTAATATTTATATTATATCTGTATATATAAAACAGTAAGCTGATTGACTGCTATCAACGCACAGCTCAAACCATTGGACGGATCTGGCTGAAATTTGGCATACAGATAGCTATTATGATGTAGACGTGCGCTAAGAAAGGATTTTTCGAAATTTTGAATTTAAAGGGTTGAAATCGGTAAAAGAAAATTTTTACATGTAATTTGTATTATTAAACCTAACTAACCTAACCTAAAGGTCCTAAGTCGGCGTTAACGCGTTGTCGGCGGATAGAGCTGCGGTAGCACCGTTGTCGTTTATTGTGATTATCCTACATATTATATTTATAGCTGCACGTGACGAAAACGTTTGCTTATATAAAATTTATGCCCACGTGCTGTAAATTATATATACTTGGCCGCGTTGTCGTTGTCGTTGTCGTAGCGATAGCCCAGCGTTCGATAAAGGACCAGTAATATAAAACAGCTTACTGCCGGATTAGTTTTTTAGATTTTTCCGTGTTCGGTTTTTGTTGTTAGGAGGATTAATTGAACGTTGTTTAATTTAATTACCTAAGAAATGGCTAAAGAAAGTCTTTTAGTTAATGGAGAACTTGAACAACATACTGTTGTCCCCATTGTTGGCGATGGTGCCTGTTTATTCCGAGCTCTTTCTTTTTTAATACACGGAACACAAGACAATGCGATGGAGGTGCGATCACTAATTGTTGGACATGTGGTGAATGACTAGACCAAGTTTTCATTTATGTCCCACAATAGAAATGATGATAATTACTCAACGGCCAATGAATATTATGCTGATATGATAAAAAATGAAACTTATGGTGGGCTTTGTGAGTTTATAGCAGCGGGATGTATATTTCCATTTAATTTTAAAGTTTATCGAAATGGTATCTTATACACGGAGTCCGGATCTAATGATTGTCCAGTAAAGCTTTTACGATTTGGACAAGATTTGCCCAATGGATATTTTGATGCTTATCTTCTTACTGCGACAGAAAACAATACTCAGAGTCGTATAGAGAAACTGGTCGATGAACGCGAACATTCACCTATTGTATTTTCAGTACACAGTAACATTTCTGCAAACATTTCACTATCCCAATCAAGTGAAACAGATCAATCTATTTCGTCCTGTCGAAAACGAAGGGCTAGATTTACTAATTACACAAGAAAAAAACAAATAAAAAAAGCACAAAAAAATATAGACAGAATCAAACTGAATCTAGGTATAAGGAAAATACTACTATGCGTCTATAGAAAAGCAAGGTGCATTCAGGTATGGCATATGATCCAGATATTGCATATAGAACTGACACCTGTGTAGCTTTGGGTTCTATGACCTATAAGTGTCAGTGGTGCAACGCTTTGAAGTGGAAAGATGAGACACTTGGTATGTGTTGTAGCACCGGAAAAGTACAACTTGAGAGGTTAAAACAACTACCTGAACCTCTCTACAGTTTGGTTAATGCTCTGCACCCAGATCATGTGCAATTCATGAACAATATTCGAAAATATAACGCCTGTTTTCAGATGACGTCATTTGGTGGTAAACAGGTAACAGCAGACGGTTTCTTACCGACTTTTAAAGTTAAAGGACAGGTCTACCATTTAATTGGAAGTATATTACCTGAACCCGGACAGGGCGCACAGTACCTTCAAATCTATTTTGTCGGTGAAGACGAACGAGAAGTAAATATTCGGTGTTCTAAATATCCTAACTTAAAACCCAATTTAATCAAACAACTGCAGGATATGCTACATCAAGTGAACCCATATATAAAAGATCTGAAAAGTGCCATTGATAAAATACCTCCTTCAGAGTCATTTAAAGTTGTAATACATGCAGATAAAAAACCACCAGAAGAACATAGAGGCAGGTATAATGCACCAACGGCAAATGGAGTTGCTTTAGTGTTAGTAGATCAGCAGTTTGATCGAAGAGACATCATCCTCGAAAACCGAAGTAACTCACTTCACCGTATCAGTGAAATACAACGAGCATACGACGCACTGCAGTATCCTTTAATGTTTTGTTGGGGGGGGGGGATGATGGGTATGCAATTAATATACCACAACGCGATCCAAAAACCAAGTTACCGCTTAAAAAAACTGTCTCTGCATCAAGTTTTTACTCATATAGAATAATGGTCAGAGAAGGGAAAGACAACTATTTAGTTAATTATCGTTCTCTTTTCAGTCAATATTTGGTAGATGAATAGCCAAAATTGAAACTGAAAGATTAAATTACATCAAAAACAACTAAGCCAAATTGCGTGCAGATAGTTATATTCATTTAAAAGATGCGATTGGACGACGAAACATAGAAGCTAATCAGTTAGGCCAAATGGTTATACTCCAGTCAACTTTTACTAGTGGGCCAAGGTACATGCACGAAAGAACACAAGATGCTATGACCTACGTTAGACATTACGGTCGTCCTGACCTTTTTATTACTTTTACTATTATATAATATTATATATAAATCAATTTTCTAATATTATAGCACTTTGCGTTAAAGCAACCTGCTTTTAAAGTTGGATACTCTTTTGACCCGGGTCAAAAATACCGACTTTCAGTGAAAATCGTTTCAACGCAAATGTTGAACACAAACATTTGTCGATCATCATATACATAGATTATGGCTATACGATACATCTTATACATGTATAAGACTATCGTGTTGCTAATGTTTGATTGTAATCAGTGGCACACACAAGGGGGAGGGGGAGTAAGGGGTTGTAAACCTCTGATGTCTAGGTTAAAATTTACAAATTTTACAAGTTTGAAATATGAGGAGCTAGTATTGAACACCTAGTATCATTGATTATAGAATAGTCTATTCTATTATCAATGCTATTATTTAAGTCAAAATATATTAAGGATTTGCATAATTTTGTTAATTGTAAAATGTGTTATATTTTACCTCCCCCCCCCCAAAAAAAAAATCCTGTGTGCGCCACTGATTGTAATGAACGCATCGTGTAGAACCGCCTTAATAAATACAATCACGATTTAAGATCTTTAACACGACCATCTCCGCATGTATATCAATAATCGGACGCATCTGGACAAAGGTTAATAGATTATAGTCTATATTATTATAATCTATAACCCTTACCTCTGCACTTCTGATAATATTATGCACGTGATAAATTTGTAATGTTTGTAAATTTGTAATAAAAAATACAAAAAAGAATCACAAAACAAAAATCAACTGCAAAGCATTGTAAGAGGAGGTGAATATGTTTACTATGAACACATTACAC